AAATATTTACGCTGATGGCGCCCAAATTGCTAGACCCTCACACCATTTGTGTTAATGCGTCTTAATCTTTAATGAGCCAAGTTTCGCGATTCGCGGTTCGGTTCGGTTCACGATGGGTTTTGGTTCGCTTATGGCCTCCGGAGCGGAGTACGTGTAACCAGACATCATGACCCTCTGATGGGGGTAAATGGCTGTGGAAGTGGTTTTCGCCATTGTGCACTACTTTGGCCAAGATAGAAACGATAAGATCTAATTATAAAGATAAACTGTTATGCTTCCTGCTTTCGTGTATGTGGCGAGCATTCAAATGGCCAACAAATCTCCGGGAGACAGATGCCAACTACCTTTCGATGTGTTCGGAATTTCTTATCGTACGCTTGTGTTTATTTTGTAAAATGGCTCCACTAAATGCAAAGACCATTTGGCAAAATCATTTCAGAAGAAGTTCTCAAGTCATGAGTTCAATGGCGCAGTGAATTCTAGTTCACTCTAAAGTTTTATTTCAAGACATCTTAAAGTGACAATAGAGGTATTTTAGGAATTAAACGGCAGGGGATGAATATAGTCTTAATCTCATATATTGAGATTTTTCTGGACATACTTTAAGTATTTTTATTATGCTCTAAATTGCTTATTTGTTTTGTAAGCGATTGTCCTTCGGCACTTTAAGCCAGCTTGAAAAGAACAATTTAATTCAAATTAAATTAAAATTTCATTTTTAAAAATTCAAATATTGCTTTGATAAATACATTAAGCATTTGTGAAAATTATTAGCATTTAAGTAGCTAGAAAAAAGTATTTACTAATAATGACTAATTTTACAATCCCATTTACTCATAAAATGTGTGTATTTTTATGCAATTATGTATTTTTACAATTGCTCTGGCTTTAAATCACCTCCGAGTTCCCTTTATCAGTGGTAAGCTCAATCCAAATTCGCAACCTACAATTAAATTAAAGCATTATTAAATGGTGCGAAATGTTCAGCTTAATCCACCCGTTTCCCCGGAGTTAATTTAACCCCCGGGCTCGCAGATTACTTTGCTGACAGTCAAATCCACACGAGAGATAACAAACTGAACCGAAGCAGAGGCAACTTCCAATGGCAACTCACTCCCTCGAGGTTCTCGCTACTTATTTTAATTGCCCGACATTTTTCAGAAACTTTTTGCTCGTGCACATTTGGCACGCACTCTCATTCGCGTATGTTTCGTTTGCTTTTAGGAGCATTTGCAGTTCGCAGCTTAATCGACTGATTTAGAAGTTTATTGCATCCTGGCATCTCGGGGAAATGAAGGCGGCCACGAAGGTATTAAAAGGCTCCTCTGCGTGTTTCGTGCCGGGAACTCCACTTCATTTGTGTCTCGGCCGTCGCCGGTTGGCAATATAAATGGACTTCCGTGCATAAAACGGATAATGCCGGGATAAACGGCCGGGCCAGACAAAGCGCCACTTCAACTGCTCGAATTTATTGGCCTGCATTTAAATGGCCGGCAATTGTAAACGCCTTGCTGCGACTCCATTCTGTTATAAATGCACTCGAATAACTTATTGTTTTTAATAATGTAAATACTATATATTGGGTTATTTAAAATTGTTATTAATATAAGACACCTTAACCGGACACCTACACGGACTAATATACAATTCAGGAAACAAGCCCACAATATCAATAAAAAAAATGTAAACGGAAAACAAATATGTCTGGTAGCTCAATAAAATTTTTACAATATAAAAATAAAACGTGAATAAGTTTTTATTTTGTCTTCCAAAGATCTATTTATACTTTTAAGCAAAACATTTACTTAACCTAACAACGATTATGGATTTTCTTTGACTGCAGCCAAGTAATATTCCACGCAAAGTGCTACGCAAAATGCCAACCACAAATGTGCGGCAACTGGTAGCTGTTGTCCTTGACCATCGCATGAATAATTGCACAGGACCCGGATTGGTTGTTGTCCTTGCGACAGTGCGCTCAATTAAGCAAAACCGCAAAAATCACACAATTTATGCAGCAGGCGCAGCATATTAATGACTGCTTATTGAGACGACAACACGGAATGTAACGAAATTTGCATTAAAACTGATTTATGCATTTGTCGCTGTGGTCGTTATTGCCCATGTTTCGACTAGCGTGTTTTGCCAACTGATGCTGTGCAGGCACATGGTAAATTTGCATAAATTTTGCGCAACCAAATGGCACTTTTATTATGTACTTCCAGTGGGCATCAAATCGGTGCCATAAAGTTTCCGGCTGGTGTTTTGGGTAGAACAACAAGAAACGGTTGATTTAACAACAGCTCATTATTTTATCATCACCCAAACAAATGAATTAATAAAGTCTTCAAAATGTTGATTTACTTTAAAAGTTTAAATGTATTTTGTTTAACAAAATGTATATAGTTTTCAGATAATGGAGTCTTAACATGTCGGGAAAATATTAAACATACATATTTAATGCCTGTATTTATTTTATACAATTTGCCACAACTTTCAACGATAATTATCTTTTTTTCGCAACCAATGAAAAAACCATTAGAGTTGATGACAATTGATTTTATAACGATTTTAACTTTGAAAACAATTAATCCACCACAGACACAGTTTAAATGTTTATTAACACCCAAATAGCATATCATAAAATCGTTTTCAAACCGTTCAATGAGTTTTCACCAAGCGAATATCACCGCAACCCGAGGGTTTCCGACTAAATTTAATCTGCGCACACATATGTAAGAACGGCTATTGAACACAACGCATGTGTATTGGCCGGTGAAAGTAAATTCTTTTCCATAAATTTTTATTATAATTTCCGCAGCCACTCACATAAGCAAGCTGATTCTGAGAAGCTTTGGGACGCATTGAATTTTTAATGCTTACGAAATGTAATTAGCTTTGGAGCGGCCTAAGGGCTGGCTGAAGAAAGTTGCCAGGAAAGTTGCCGTACATTAAAGACTGTTTAGGATATTGAAAACTCCTTGGTTAGCATTGTTATTGCATGGAAGATGGCATCGATAAAAGCTGGAGTAACACTCACCTTGAGTCTTGTCCGGCTCACGAGGCGTATGATTGTTTTGCCGTGTGAAGAAAACGTGTCTCGACACCGACTTTTCTTCCCCATTTCACCTTTCGCTCTTTTCTATTCTCCCATTTGTCGTATTTCCTGTTAATGGCTTTAATGCGATTACACGACATCAGCCCTGTGCGCTCACATTATGACTTCCTTGCCGAAATGCGAGTTCCACTTTCACACGGCAGCTTCATTAGCTTTAAAGGCCATTAAAGCGTTCATCGGGGTAATGGAGGTCCTCACCTCATAAAGCATTTATTCAGTATGCCAGCACAAACAAAACGGGGCCAAAATAAAAGAAAGTGATTCGTGAAAGCGAAATAAAAGCGGAGAGAGTTTGGTCAAAAAAAATTCAAGTTGCAAATTTATATTAAATTGCAAATTTTATATTAAAAAGCTGAAAATAGAACACAAATTGTAGTGATTATAATTTGTCAGTTCTCCGTAAAAAGTTTTCTTAAATTAAAACAGCTGAAACAGCTTTAATCTAAGCTGAAGTTAACAACAAATATTTTAAATCAAATTTTACGGACCAATCTTTTAACAGAACATTTAATATCGACACTGGAGATTTAGAACACATTGAAAGGCGATTAATCCTCGTCGCTGTAGCGATAATAGGGTCCCGTCGGCTTTGGCTCGGGCAGATAGCCATAATGGGTCCTCAAGAACTCGAGACCCACAAAGAGTAAAACAGTGTGCGGCATTAGACGAGTTAAAGCGGGCGTATAACCCTTGAAGTAGGCCTGTGGTCCTTCCTTTGAAGTCTTGATAAATGCATCCGTTAGTCCCGAAAACTTGCCAGGCGGAGCGTTCATTAGCCGGGTCTTCACCACGTCGATCGGTTGGGTGAGGGTGGTGGCCACCATGGCCGAAATGATCGATCCAACTATGTAGGTGCCCATATTCTCCGGCATGCCCATTTTTACCAGACTGGCCTTGCTCTGCTCGTAGAAGGCGATCTGGCCCACGGTCATGAACATACCGCGCAGGGCGGTCATTGAGGAGCCGTTGAACAGGCTGCGCCAGCCCTCCTCGCGGATGATGCGGACCAGTCCGTCGATGGCGTGCTTGTAGCTGCAAATATGGAATTATAATTTATTCGAACAATATACATATATACTCTTCTAAGAACTGAGCCTAAAAATGCCAAAATCACTTAAAAATTCTCAAATGGCTTTTAAGATTTCCTTAAAACTTCGTTAACCAACTGTTTATATATATTTGTATTTATCAGTTTCCTCAAAAAATTAAAGCTTTGCGTCTGAAAAGTATATACTTTAAAAAATGTAATCGAAAAAATTTAATAAAAAATCTTTTCCTTAGGTTTGTTTATTTATTTTAATAACAACAATCACTTACTTGCGTCTCTGTTCTGGCGGGAGTTTGACATCGTTTTGCAGGCGCACGTTGATTAGATCCGCAGGGGCACCCACATAGCCGCCAATTCCACCAGCAACCGCAGCAAGGGTTGTTTTGCGGCCCATGGTGCTCGTGTCCATCATACCTGATCCCATGGAATAAATGCCAAAACGGGTAAGCGTATAGGTGTATTGCCGAAGCAACGAGGCCGAGATGCCATTGTACATGGCCAAAACTCCCTGTTCCCGGACAATTTTGCGCGTTGTCTGAATCAAGGACAACTTCTCCGCCTGTGTCTGGACGAGCACCTTCATCAGATCCAATGGATGTGTCACTAAGGCGGCCATCGAACTGGCCACACCTCCAAAGTACCAACGGGCAATGCGCCGCTGGTTATAGGACATCAATCCACCCTTTCTGATCGACATCTTATGGCTTTACACTAAATTTCGGTTAGCTTTGTATCTTTGCTTGTATATTTTGTGTATGTGAGGTAAATATATAGTTCACAAAATATAGAAAGTTGATCTAATAGTCACGAGTTTAGAGGCATGGATTGTTTGATTATAGAAGTTTATACTTCAAGCGATCGAAACTTAGAATTTGAAGCCGAATCGTTGTGTTACACATAAATTATACCTAATTAAATGTAGTAGAAATTAGGTCTGTTCTTGGACAGATCCTGTGAAACACATACATCATTAGCGAGAACTAAATAGTTTACAATATTTTAATAATACTTACTCCCATTCTATACAAGATTGGAAATGAAACAAGGGCTCCGCCAACAATAATAAAGTCCAAAATCCGTTGTTTGGTTACTTGGTTGACAGTGTTCAGGTAAAGGTATAAGAGTATAATCCCCGCAATGAAGCAAGCATTTAATAGTATCACCATTATTATGGCTGTAACAGCTCTGAAAGGCTTGTCCTTATTATCTGGAATAAGATTATTTAAAATAAGCATTAGGAAGCCTCTTGTCTTACCTGGCTTAACCATTTTTATTGACTGTGGCAAACCGTCTTCAACAATCCTTACATCCATTCTTTGTTTTTGGTTCGGCTTGTGGTTTGTTTAAATATATTAAGAAATTTTATAATTCCATATGACACTTAACGCAAGGCCACTTTGTATGCATGAAAAAGCAGAACATTCAATAAATATATTAAAAACCAATTTTATTAATGACAAAGCAAAAATTAAGTATTGCTCATAAGAAACGTATATAATGGCTTTAATTGTTAAGGTACATTGCTTATTAAAATCAATGCTTTTCTGCACAATATTCATCCCAACTAGTCCAAGTTTAAGAGCGTTTTCTTGTCACATTATTTACACCTGATTAGGCGAAAGACTGCGACTCACTTCCGCCGAGGAACAAAGCAAAACGAAACAAAACGTACTCGGCACGCAACAAAGGCCTGCTCGAAAAACCTCAATCACGCACCTCTGATTATGCTAATGGAACTGAACCACTGTTGTTTCATAAATATTTTGACAGCTCAAGCACCGGAAACGGACGCTTGAAATTGTCCACAAGGGCCTGTATTTTAATTGGCCATTTGGTTTTGACAGCTGGAAGTCCATGCCTAGCCACTCAAATGGAAAACTCAACCGCTCTTAAAATAGCCATTAAATAAATAAACCTAGGCCGGAAAGTTATTACTATTTGGCCGATACAGATACACTTTTACCGATGGCAGGCCATTTGAGTTGAGAAAAATCTTGCTAATTTTCATTTTTGGAATGCAATAAAAGTTGCAGTCAATTTTTGAGAAATTGTCTCAAACGCCAAATACTTGTTATGGCCGAAACCAAATGGTTTTTATTGCTACAAATGAAATGCATTTCGCTTGCATTGCCATATTGGAAGAGTTCAGTCGCCAACAGAAACAGCTAAATAATTTGGTTTCGTTCCGATAGCCAGGCAAATTGAATGGTATTTCTGTTATTTTCCGGTTAGGCAACAATTCAACGAACTTTTCATCCAAATCACCGTTGATGGATTGGATTTTAATTTCAATGCAAATGTCAGCGAATGTACAAATATTTGCAGGCCCAGCCAAATTGTCGCATTGCGAAAAGGTTTGTTATTTATCATGTAATTCTATTTTGCGGTTTTCTTAACTGAAATGCCAGCTTATGTTTATTTTTTCATCATAATTGGTTTAGGCTGCCAAATGACGAAAATATAATTATCGGATTGTCAAATGACGGAGCCCCCTAGTGAAAGCTTAAAACGGAAACTTCTAACTGCTCGAAATCTTCACAAACTTTATTTATTATGGCCAACTCGATGGGAGTTGAGCGTTAGTTTAGAAGTTATATTCAGTTGGTTGGCTCGTTCATTTGTTGCTGCAGCACTGGTCCTTGGGTCCGTTCTTGCAAACGCAATGGCAGTCATTGTTGCAGGCGCAATTGTCCCCGCATTTCTGTGCCGAGCACTGGCAATCTGTGTGTGGTGGATTGTCAATTATACGAGTTGCTGCTGTTTTAAATCACTTACTTGTTCCGCAACCCTTGCACACCATTTTGTAGGTATCTTATATATTGACTTGGCTGAGGAGAAATAAACTTCACTTGCTTGCTTATTGGGTATTTAACTGATGACCCATTCCGTCGACGCCTCCTCCTTTTATACCCATTAAGCTTGCTTCGAGCTCGAACGAGTGCAAAATTACACAAATCCAAAACAAATTTGTTTATTTGACCCGTCTTATCAAGTCGTGTGCAAGCCGCGGGCGAGTGGTTCGTAATTTATCAGACAATAGGCTACGTTATTTTTTGCGCACGCGATTGCTCGCCAACGCGCTGCACACGAACTTCCTCCCATCGCCTTATCGGCTGGCCACGCTGCGTATACGTTGCGTACACGCCCCTTATCATGACGCAACCATTAGCCCATAAGCACACAACCAAAAGTATGAAACCTTAAATAAATCGCATATTTTTCGATGAGTTCTAAATATACAACTAAACATGTTTTCATAAATATATTAAGCTGTTGCATTAAAACTTTAACTATTTATACTCTTCAAACTTCATAAAAAACAAGAAAGAAAGCAAACTTCGGCAAGCCGAAGTTCATATACCCTTGCAGCTATCGCAAGAATTAAAATTAATTAAAATTATGATTTACTTGCGTATATGTTTAAAAACATTGAAGCTATGACGATTTGCAGCTTAATTATTTGATTGTTCTTTTATATATTTTTATTATTTGTATGGGAGCTATATGATATAGTCGTCCGATTTTGATGAAATTTAAACCGTAAATCGAAAATATTTAACCATTACTAAATGTCGAAGAACTGAACAAAAAATTAAAAAACAGAAAAGTTATAATTTTTTTTCATTTATTTTTCCGATTGTTCCTATGGGAGCTATATGCTATAGTCGTCCGATTTTGATGAAATTTAAACCATAATTCTGAAATATATAACCATTGCTATATGTGGAAGAACTAAACAAAAAATTAAAAAACAGAAAAGTTATAATTTTTTTTCATTTATTTCTCCGATTGTTCCTATGGGAGCTATATGCTATAGTCGTCCGATCCGGCTCGTTCCGACTTATATACTACCTGCAATAGAAAGACAACTTTTGGGAAAGTTTCATGCAGATAGCTTTAAAACTGAGAGACTAGTTTGCATATAAACGGACGGACAGACGGACAGACGGACAGACGGACAGACGGACAGACGGACGGACAGACGGACGGACAGACGGACAGACGGACATGGCTAGATCGACTCTACTAGTGATGCTGATCAAGAATATATATACTTTATAGGGTCGGAAACGTCTCCTTCACTGCGTTGCAAACTTCTGACTGAAATTATAATACCCTCTGCAAGGGTATAAAAATGAAAATCTTAAAAGCAGTTCTTCAGTTTACTAAGCATACTTTCGGACATTCATACAAAACACCAATGAAGTATGCTTTTGACATACTTTTCGGATCAGTTATGAGTAACAAGTACTTGTAATTAAATGCCTGGTTTATTCGCATCCACACTCATAGCGAGTGTCGAGAAAAACTAAATGGATTAACATATATAAATACAGACACAATAGCGCGCATATCGCTAGCATCACAAAAACGTAACAACGACAAATACGAGAGCACAAATTCATAGTTTGATGAAGCCCAACCAAAAAGCTTAGTCCTTCAATTCAGCGGCTGTGTTGACAAACCCGGTGGTTTGGGTCAACTGCAGTTGGGCCTTCTCCTCGGCCTCCTGGGCCTTCTGCTCGGGCGTTTTGGCCCATTCCTGCAGCTCGCCGGAGCAGTAGAACCAGTAAATGACGCAGCCTACCAGGTAAATGCCCGCCGAAATGAAGAAGATGATGCGCCACTCGTCACTCGTCTGGTTGGTGACCACGTAACCGGTGAGCAGCGGACTGACGATGCCCGGAATGGTGGCAAAGGTGTTGCCAATGCCCATCAGCACACTGGCGTGCTGCGGTGCAATGTCCAGGTGATTAACCCTGCAAATGAAGTAATGAGTACCACATCTCCGAGAGGCTTTCGCTGCCGAACAACTCACGCAAATCCAGACCAGGCGAACGCTCCCAAGCCCACGGCAATGGTCAGACTCACCACCGACCACGCGGGATCCAGCAGATAGGCCGTCAGCATCATGAAGACCGTCTGGGCCAGGAACGCTCCGCAGTTGAAGTTGCGCCTCACTTGAGTGGTCGTCCAAATGCCCTTCACCTGCAGCCAATCAGCCAAATAGCCGGACACGGCCAGCAGGATGCCCATGGCCAAATAAGGCACGGCCGACAGGATGCCCGTTTTGCCCAGGTCAAAGTTGAGTGTATCTAAAATGACAAAAAGAGAAAGTGATAAGCATAAATTATAATTTATTTTGGTATTTAATTTTATGCTCTAGGTAATCTAAATCAATTTATTCATAATATATATAATTTGGTGAGATCACTTATATTAAAATGGTAAAAGAGTAAACAAATTAAGTAATTAAATGTATACTTAGAAAACATAGTTCCTTGTTTTTCGGACAAATTTGTAAGCATGGCCTTAAAGATGATTCTTGTGTATATTGGTTTGTTATATGATTATAATGACAGGTTTAACTTTAAAGCCAAGCTTATTTGGTAAAATTTAAGAATTTTTTTTTTGAGTGTCGGAAACCAAAACATTATTTAAAGTTAGTCTATATTGCGTAAAAAAAAATAAAGACAAAATATTGTTTGTTTTTATTGGAAAACTTACCCCTGAGGAAGCTGGGCAGCTGGGTTAGCAGGGTGTAGAAGCCCCAGTTCTCCGAGAAGTGCGAAGCCATAATGGCATAGAAGGCCATCGACGTGAAGATGGACTTCCACGGGTGCTTAATTTTCTTCGAGCCCACATATCCAATGGTCTTTTGTATGTACTCGCACTCCTCCTTCGAGCAGAAGCGATCCAGTTCGGGTCCGGCCTTAACGAAGACAAGCCAAATAAGGTACCAGATCACGCCGATAGTGCCGAGTACGTAGAACACGCTTTCCCAGCCATATTTGGTAGCCAGGAATCCGGAGCACGGCATCGCCACCACAGTGCCCGCATAGTTGCCCGCAAAGGCTATCGATGCCATTCGAGATCGCTCCAAGGGCGGCGACCAGCGGGCCCACACCGCATGGATTCCGGGGAAGGTGACGCCCTCGAAGAATCCCTCGATGATGCGGACGGCCAGGAACATCTCCAAACTGTGATTGGCGGCCAGCGGGGTGAGCAGCGTCAGAACGGCAGTGCTACCAATTCCTGTACCGAATACCTTGGGGGAAAATATAAGAATATTAATTTCTTGTATTTTTTATTTGGCAATAACTTGCAATAAATCGTGGCAAAAAAACAACGGATTACTCTTCCGTTAACTACTCTCATTTAAAAGTAATTATATTTTAAAATAACTACCTACAAAAACGCAGGTAATAAAATGCAATGCAACAAACCAGTTTGTGCCTTGAATGTTACTACACTAAAATTCATTTCATTAAAACTTGTGTTAGTTACTCACAATGTTGCCACCGATCTTGGTGCCAATATAGCCGCCCAGGAACTGGGTGAGGATGTAGCCATAGAAGAAGGAGCTGAGGATCAGGCCCTTCTGCTTGGAATCCCAGGGGAAGTCCTGCACGTAGGATATGTTTCCATCATCATCCAGCACTGTTCGGTTCTCGGTCATGGCCACAATGGCCACCGAAAGGTTCACCCGCAAAGAGTAGACATTGAAGAATCCAAAGAAGGCCAGTAGCACCACAATGTAGCGCTGTTTGCGCCAGAAGCGCCAGGTGAGTGGTTCGCTTTCCGTGATTTCATTGCTGCGAAATTTATTAATAATTGGTATGGTCAGCAGGGTTCTTCGGTGGAGGTGAGAGTCATGCAAATGGGGAACCGGCAAGTGTTACTTTCCCTTTCGGTTGGCCAGCATTTGCTGCAAACGGTTTCGGTTAGCTTGGTCTGCTTTTTTTGTTGCGTCTAGCCCCGCAACCAGTTTTCAAGTTGTGTTATCGACTGGTTTATTCAACCCATATCGCCCCAGGGCCCCGAGGAGTTTATTTACTTCGCCAAGTATACAGTGGCGTTGGCACAGTTTCACAAAAAAAAGTATATTGATTTTATTTTAAATAATTACTAAGAAACCAAAAAACAATAATATGAACTTTAGCCAATGAAGTCTTAATAAATTGTTTTATATACAAAGTAACTTTGTTTAAATAATTAAATTACGCTTTTTAAATACAAGTAAACATACCAGCCTCAACACCCCTCTTACATAAATATTGAAGTATGGCTTGCATTTCTTGGGCACTTGAGGTATGCGGAACCAATTAGAAATAAGTAGATTGCCTTGCGGAAAGTACTCACTTGTTGTGGTGCACATGTTCCAGGTGCTTTCCGTTCTTCGGAGACTCCAAGTCAGTCATTGTGCCAGCCGATCAAATTGAGCCTGAAATACATTTAATTTGTTTATACAATACTTTATAAGTGCAATTGTCTGGCCCGGCAATTCGTGTGCGTGCTGACGATTCATTAAACTCGAGTTTAAGCTGATTGAACCAACACAAATACAGGCAACCCGGTGATGAGGTCTCATCCACACAACTGCGTGTTATAATTCAGCGATTTGTTAGATCTCGGGTAGCACCCCAACTTTATATAGCCGGGCGTTCAGTTGCGTGCCGGTCGCGTAATTGCCATTGACACTGACCGAAGAGCAAACATTTTGCTAAGCAATTTGTAGCCCACTAATGCGGAAACATAATACGTGAAAGATTCTAGATTCGCGATTTGAGATTAGAGATAAGAATAGAAGACTGGGCCGGGCATCCGCCACGGGAACGCATCTTAACTCAATTATCCATTTATCCTATTAAGCAAATATTTCACCAATTGCGGCACGCGAAATCTCGCACAGAACCTCACTCTCACTTTGGATGTCATAATCAAATAATTGTGGCGTAAGTGAGCCAAGTCTGGTCGAGTTGATTCGCTTTGAATTGCAAATTGCAGGAATTTTCGGCAACACGCGCTGCTTTTGAATGCCAAACCAAATTGAAGCAATTGCACTGCACGCACGTGTTAGAAACCGTTCCCTATGAAATC